GAAGCCTGCTCTGCAGCCCTAACCAAGGGAGAATTTTTCCTTGTCAGTGAATTGAGCAAATTGGATGGGAAATTGCTCCCGGGTCCTATCTGCATGTTTGATTCTAGGCTGCAGCCAGAGCTCATAGAGGTCTTTTTTCCCCAAGGAATTGGGGACTTTTGTTGTCTGTGCTGATGTTTTTTCAAGTTTCTCCATGGGAAACCCATAGTTTACAAAATGAAAACATCTAGGAATTTCTTGACAATTAAAACTTTTCAGATCATGGAAAATCATTGAAACAATCATGTTCTTGATAATGTTTATTGAGTGGAAAAGCTGGTTTTTTACTTGTAAACATCAGGGCAATTTTCTTCTCAGTCTAGCAGATCTAGTCACATCTGAGCCTTATCTCCTTTCTTACACTGTTTCATTTCTGTTTATTTCACCTCCTTTTTCCCAACTGTGCCTCTCCCTCTTCCACTGACAGAGATGGTGCTGTGGTTGAAGGGTCAGCACATGGTTAAAGTGAGCGTGTGGTCAAAGGGTCAGCATTACCTGGCTCAGCTCCTGCAGAAGGCTCACAGCATTGTTTAAATATCCTGGTAACCAGTGGGATTTTGTGGTGCTCTGGTGTCAGGAGGAAACCGACTAATGGATTTCTCATTTACTTTTGACTCTAGGAAGTAGAAGGCTGGAGCTGGAAAGGGGAGAAGTGCACTGAAGTCTGGGAAACTTCCAGGCACTGCCCAAACTTCTTCTGCAGGCAGTGATGGGTCACTCTGCTCCCGTGTCCATCTGCAGAGGGACACTCTCATACTCACTGCTGATCCACCCCACTGCTCTGTCCCCTGCACTGTCACATAAAGATCCCAGGGATTCTCAGTTGAAATATCATAGTTCAATGGCAGTATTCCTAGGATATGTGTTTTTCATATTTATTCATATCTTGTTAGTTAGAAGGCACTAGCTAAAGAAATTGCTACTTGCCCCAGTCAGCCACTGAATGCAGTTTATTTAACTTACAAAATGCAAATATCCTGGTGGTCAGAGGGTTAAGAGGAAGCATCGACTAAGTACTTGTAAATTGATGTAGTGCCCTGAGGGTACCTCTGCTGGTAATAAAGTGCATCTCATGAACAGATCTGACTCTGTGCTACAGCCCAGCAAAGCGAAGTGGAGTGGATCTGTCCCAGATTAACTGTAAATGAGACTGACACTCTCAACACAAATCGACGTCCATCAGGACTATGATCACATTAATTACAAGGCCTTGGAAAACAATCAAGGAGGGCTTACTCTTCTCCAGGGGAAATTAATTGAAGGGATCTGCCAACAGTGGAAAAATCATATGTACAAGAAGAAAAAGCCATTTAAATTCTTTTATTTGCTCACCTTGCTCATGATGGAAACCAGTAATATTAGCAATAGCTGCTAAGTGTAAATTAGTCTGGGTTCTGTGTTCTTCCTCTGCCACTCTCCTTGCCCTGACCTTTGAGGTGGAGAAGTCCATCTCATCCATGGATGTATCCACATCCAGACAAGCCACAGGTAGCAAGGAATCACCACTCTAAGACTGGCAGTGGGAGATAAATGGGGCTGTGAGAATGAAAAGTGCATGGACTGGGAAAGGCTGGGCTTCCCAGGTGCTTGAGGACACCCACGTGTGGTATGAGCATCCTTACAGCTGAGATTAGGGTGCCATGAGTGCTTCCCACCCCTGCCTCACCCTAGAGCACACAGATGCCCTCTGTGCCCAATCTTGCTGTAGGAACATGCCTCTGCTGTCCCCAAACTGACACTTCTGCTCTCTTGCCAAATGGCTCCAGCTCCATACAGGTTCAGCCAGGGACCAAAGGACCAAGAGACACAGAGTGGCCAAGCCTCCTTCACTGATGTTTCGGAGGAACCAAAACATGCTTATTTTCTTTGCTAGAGGGAAATGGATTTAGCACCCAAGATGTCAGGTCCTCCTTTATTACTTTGTACCATTTGTGCTTGTGCATTGGAGCATCTCACCCTCAGCAGGCACAGCAGAAATGCAGATGAGGTGGTGATGCCTGGGCAGCACACTGGATCAGGGGCTGAATGAAATTGGGATTAAAAAAAAAAAAAAAGAAAAAAAATCCTGATCTGAACTTTGTGACTGCAATTTGTCACAGCTCCTCCTTTCTTTTGATGGGCCATGGGCCATGGGCCAGGGTGGGTGGTAGGTGTTCTCCAAGGCAGGATGACTTCTCTTGAGCTTTAAATCAAAGCCACCATGCCAACAGGCAGAGGGGTGAAGGTGCTGCTTCATGCCTTATCCTCCAGCTCTGCTACTTTGCATTTCAGATGTAGGGGCATGGTTTATAATCTAATTCCAAAATACAAAAACTTGGCATCTATTTTTTGTGCTCTGTTAAGCAACTGTTTGGATTTTTATGATTCAACTAGTATTTGTGGGGTTTTTTTGTTGTACACAAACATCCAATAGTAACATTAAAAAAAAAAGTGGAGTCTCTTTATTGATTTGCTTTTAGTTAAAAACAAACATGTCATATATAATTAAGATGTACACTGCTTGTAGACAGTGGAGAGCACATTTATAAAGCTATCGAAAGAAATAATGGAAGTGAAAAATATATCACAGCCACCTTTCCAAATCATTCAAATAGGGTTGTTTACACCCATAAAAGGTTGATAGTCCTTCTGGCAAACTTAATACAATCATTTGCTTTGTACTTTAAATGCCTGGAATATTTTAACCCTGGAGAAAAATGAATCTCAGTGGGATTGCTGAGAAATTAAGAAAAGTGTGTCCGATGAGCTTGCTTCATACAGAGAGGTGAAATAACACCAGGAGAGTCAGCTGATCATTTGATATCTTTACATTAAAAAAACACAAGGCAAACCCTGAGGCATGCCATTGTTATGCTGTGTGACAGGGATTGCTTTCAAACAAGTCGTGTTTTCGACATTAGCTGCATCATGGTTTTATAAATTGCCATTTAAAATGTAAACCAGTGTGCATTCGGGAAGGAAGCCTCCTGAGACCCCCTGAGCCGGAGTGCGGTGGCCTCAAGGCCGCGGGTCAGGGCTCATCTGCTCAGTGGGGCTTTCCTTGATTGAGGGTGACAGCTGGGTGGGTAGGAGGCAGTGGTGGAAGGGCTTGGGGAGGAGTGGGTTGCTATCCACTAGCTAATTGCTGGCAAGAGTTATGCAGGAGTTGTTTGTTTTCTGATAATAGGTCAAGACATAGTCAGAATGGTCTTGATAGCTTGCTTTTGGGTTTCATGATGAGCTATCTGGATGCTCAGTTTTACTGAAGGCTCAGATATTTGGTAAAAAATGTCAAAAACAACTGAAACACTGAGCCCCCAAAGAAAGGAAATAAGGCTTTGAATTACTGCCTGACTCTGATGTGCCATGATGAGCAATGCATGCAGTTTTAGTCCCAGTGCTATTACACACAAATCACACTGGGAATGCTCCCTCAGCTATTATTGCCAGCAGAGGGATGCTTTCACATCAAGATGTTTAACTCAAAGCATTCGCTTTGCTGGAAAAATCTTGGAGACCAGGCTTTGGGAGTTTTCCCTTCAGTGTAAAGCAGCAGAGCTATATCCCAGGCTGGAAGCTTTCAGCTTTGGTCTTTGCTGGCTGCGCCAAGGTCAGGCTCTGCTCGCCTCTCAGGAGCTGGCTGTATCACAGCCAGAAATGCGTGGTGTCAGCTGGGATTTGCACTGACAATATTGCTCTCGGTTTCAATGTGCATCCTCCGGCATGAAAAGCATTCCAGGAAGGAGGTGGCTGTATCCCCAGAGATGATAACCGATCTCATTTGAAAAACATTGGTTATTCTCTGGAAAACAGAGCCGAAATTAAGACATCATGCAATTAGGACTGTTGTCCCTTCAAATGATTATTTTCCACTAAAAGATGTTGTTATTATTGGTGGAGAGGTGGCTGCAGGAGCAGTCCATTTGACAATTGTGTGTGACACCAGGAGAAAGAATCACCCGTTTATTTGCTATATAAATCAAATTAATTTAGTTAAATTTACAAACACGGGAAGAAAAGCAATAAGGTCTGTCCTGTGGCTGTGCCCCAAAACAGGCAACACTCAGTATTGAAACTGCTCTCCTCAGGGGAACCAAGAATGTGATGTGGCCGCAAATATTCATTTGGTTGTTGTCATTTCCAGTGCTATGTATTTTAAATTTACTTCAAGCACTGTAGAAAACCTGTACTGGTGAGAAACCACCTGCCCAGAGGGACTTGGTGAGGTGACATGCCCACCAGCATGAAGGGAAGTTTTGCTGTCTTGCTCCAAGAAAAGAGTGAATTCAAGGTTTATAACTCTAGACATACCTCCTCTACCACACAAGGCAGGTCGATATTTATAGGAACATCTTCTGACCCCCTAAATCTCGCCTTCTGCCCCCCTCCGCTGCTCTACCAGCATCCTCTGCCCTGTCCATGCTTCCAGCTGAAGCACTGCACAGCATTACTCTTCCACCTGTGATGCAAAGAGAAGGTAAAAAGAGGTCGTACTTGGACAACACTCCCCAGTATTTCTTGCCTTGGTATTTGCTGTGGTAGCCAAGGCAAGATGGGCTGTGATGTGGATTCAGGACACCACAGCCTGTCTCTCTGGCTCACAAGACACTAGTCCAGATGCAAAGAAACAGTCACTGCAGAATGTAGCCGAGAGGGAGCTGGGTGGCTTTCACCATGCTGGACAGATGGCAATGGCAGGCATTGGTGTGCTTCGTCTCTGCTGACATCAGCATAATTACAAGAGCATATTGAGCTGAAGGACAGCCCAAAAAATTCATTTCAGGGAGGACTGAAACAGAGGAGAGCCACCTCTGTTTTTTCTTCCTGAGATTATCTTTCAGGGTAAAATAAATAGTCTAAGTAAAATTCTGCCATCAGATACCTGTCTATAAATGCCACTGATGTCATGGGAGCACCATGGGGGAACATGGGAAGAGGATCTGGTCCTCCAGGTGAGGCCCTTCTTGCTGAGCAACCTTTTTTGTGTGCACTTTCTGGGCAGATGGGTCCCTGCACCATTGCTGACCAAGGTGGGCTCAACCTTAGCTATCTGTGGGCTGAAAAAATGCTGCTGGCTGCCAGGATGCCTTTGGTACATGTGCAGATGGGAAAGGATGTATTCCAAGCTGTTACTGGGTGCAGCTCATGTGGGATGGGTGACACTGGTGATACACTGGGACACAGTAATCTTCTTAATAGCACTTGGCACTGAACACTACCTCTCATTCCACATCAGTCTGAATCTCTGTGCCATTAGCTAATTGAACTTTGCAGAAATGCCTCAGAAACACTGGCATTGGCAGGCACATTTTTCAAATTATTAAATACAGATTTGGAAAGACTACATGTCCCACTTGGCCTCTGGTCATCAGTGGGATCCGCAAGCCTTTAGATGGCAGGAGCTTGTGAGACCTTCAGATAGTGATGGTGGACCCCAGTTTCACCAGGGACCAGGACTGCACAGAAAAATATTGCTGTAATCTGTCCCAGGGACTCTCATGAAAAGGGATTGGAAATTTAGAAAAGGGGTCTGAAATCAAAACACTTGTTCAACCATTCCCAGCCTGAATAATTTATCGTTCTTGTGACCCAGAAGAGGAGGGACTTCATTCTGTCTTGCTGGGTCATTTGGATACAGCCCTCCACCTCTGCTTTGTCTAGGCCCTCCTCCTTGGTGGGGAAGCGAGGAACAGCAGTACCTGTTTCATCAGGGCTCCTTTGCACTGCCAAAAGTTTCTCACCCTTTGACATGAGCACAGCAAGTCTGTCTCATTCCTGCTACCTGTCTGTCCTTCGCACATCCCCTTGTGTGTGTCTCTGTGTTTATTTTAAAGCACTTGGATTGAAAAAAAAGCCCACTGGGACTGTGGCAGCTCCTAGGGAGGCACCCAGCCTCCTGATTATAAACCAGTGTGTGTAACTTAGAGCACACTAAGGAGATAAAAGGGCATCAACTGCACTGCCACTTCCCTTGGCTGAGCGTTCCCTCTGGGAGCAAAGAGAGGGGCCAGAGACAGCCTCTCAGGCAGGCTTTCCAGCAAATGAAAAGCTCCCCATCCCTTAAAACCTACTCAGAATTAGAGGCTGCCTCTGAATAAGCCACTGCCTGTGCTTTCAGCAGGAAAAGGAGCCTCCTCCATCCATTTCTTCTGGCTGCTGGTGGTTTTTCTCTCCAACACAAGGCAACTGAGGCAGATACGGTCCATCCACCCAGGTGATATGGCCTGAGGAATCAGGAATCTCTGGTGGACACTGTTAGGCTGGCAATTGAAAGCAATAGGTCCTTATGGTAATTTAGGCACCAGACAACCACTATGAATAGGAAATGATGGCAGTTATTTTATCTAGTAACAGCATGAAAATGTAAAGTGTCTTTATTGAGCTGCTGGCTTGCTAGTGAGAGCTAAAGGAGATGCTCTCTCGGGTATAACATTTGCAGAGAAGTGGCATGAGATATTGCCATAAACTCTCCCGTTAATAAGCGAGCAGAGGAAGACAGCGCATACCTAATGCAGCCGTGTGAAGGGACAAAATTAAGAAGGTGGAGGCAGAAACCTTTCTCTCTTGGCAGCAGAGGTACCCCAAGGAGAAACGAAGGATTCCCCTCCTGACCCAGCAACTAGAAAATGCATGTACTGCTAATATCAATCTAGGAAGGATGGCTTCGAAAGGAATAAAAGAAAAACACTTCTTACCACATTAGTGTCCTTCAATACCAGAGGGAAATGTAAGTTTCTGCCAAAGGGAGATTAACAGGAAAGCCCAGCTCAGCAGCTGTGCAGTGATGATGCTTTGCAGGTGGCCAGAGGGTGTAGAAATGACTTTTGCTCTGTGATAGATGGGGGAGACATGGCCCAAGCATGTGAACAGCAGCAGCATGCATCCCCAGTTATACCAGTCATGGTGTTGGATGTGCAGTGTTGCAAAGTAGCTCTGGGGGCGATGACCACACACGGTTGAAAGCGAGCTGTCCAGAGGGAGAAGGAAGGCAGCACTCAGGAAATGCTGGGAAGAACCTCTGAATTGCAAAATTGGTTCGAGTTCAGCAAATTCTATTTTCTCCGTAGTTTCATAAGACTGTCTGTGGCATTTGTCACTGATATCTTAATTGGCATGTTATTTAACTGCTTCATAGATTGCTTTTGATAGTTCTCGTCCAATGAAAGCTGTCCTTTGGAGAAAACAAAAACTGTTGAGACATTTAAGATCAGTTTCTGCTGATGTGTACAATTCCAGTGCTTGTGTACAATTCCAGAACAGCTATGGCTTATATTGCTGCATGCAGTCAAAATAGATTTCTGAAAACCTATGTGGCAAAATAATTCACCACAGATAAAGTATTTTGGTAAAGTCAACAACTTTTGGCAGTACTTTGCTTTTGAAAAAACAGCTGATTTTTAAAAAACAGGAAAAAAGATCTGTTGATGTTCTCACCTCTCATCATCATAGACACTAAAAAAGATGAGAAGAGGGAATACCTCCATGCATTTTCCAGGGAGATCTGCAGTTCTCCTCCCTGTCCACAGGCAGCTCTGTCTCCCTTGTGGTTGCACTGAGTGGTGTCAAATCTGCCCTGCAAGTGAAGTGGAAGCGTGGGAATGGAGAGCCAAAGGAGCAGACGTGTCACACCTGTAACCAGAGCACCATGACACTGTGAGCCAAATGGGTCTTTTTGCTTCTGTACTCACTGGAGGTGAGAAGCGGACAAGGCTTGACAAGAGCAGAGGAGGAGGTAGAGAACATGCATGGAGAAGCTGCAGGAGTGACCTTATCTTGGGCAAGAAAGGTGCTGTCTATTGGGTTTGCTGATGGAGGTTTTAGGCAAAACTATGTCTTCACATGGAGAAAGTCTGTGACGACAGTGAGGGAAAGCACAATGACTTTATGAAGGCAGAAGCTCATGCAGGAAAATAATTCAGACTGGGAAAAAAAGATAAAAAAATGCTAGTGGTGAAGATAAATAATCTTTGGAAGAACTTAGAACTTAGCAGGAGGTACCACTGGTCTCCTTCAAAGGAATCTTCAAAGCCAGGCTTTTTGGAAAGGATGGGGTCCAGTCAAAGCACAAAGCAGTCAGTATGAAGTTACATGTACGTTACAGGGGGCAGCCTGGAGGGCTGCAACTCTTCTGCCAGTTTTAAAAGTTGCTTCTTCTTCCAAAAGGTTCTGCTTCTCTAGAGATGTGCCCTCTAATGTCGCAAGATGACAGTTGTAAGTGCTTAGGGAATACTAGCAGAATGGACAGCAGATGGTGGTCCCTGCCCATGAGCCAGTTCAAAATGGCATCTCCTGTAATCACTGCTGGGGACAGGGGGCTGGGCTGGAGAGATCACTGCGCTGAACTAGTGAGACTTTTCTTATGTTCCTGCTTAAAAGACAACAGAGGAAAATGATAACTAACAGTGCAAACATCTCTCCTCAAAACCTGCTGTGAGACCTGGGAGAACACAGGAAGCTTTGTACATTGTTTGCATTCAAAGGATGCAGAAAACTGCCTGATGCCCCAGTCAGGTCAAAGGAAATGCACCCTTAGTGTGCCCTATTCCCCCCACTATAAAGGACTATAAAAGGAGCTGGGCTGATGCACTCAGATGTAGACACACAAGGGAGCAGTGCCTAATTGGCATGGATCCTGCTCCTCCAGCCCCTGGCCAGACAGAAAATGAACCTTAGCTAGATGGAGGCAGTGACACATTTAAACACCCAGTTAACATCCCTAGAAGGCAAGGATGAAAATGTAAGAGGGATCCTTCCCTGCACCAAGGCGCCCATGCAGGCTGTCCCTGCTAGAGGGCAGTGGCCAGTTAGATTGGTCTGGCTCCTTTCCCAAGGAAATATAAACAGTGGAGCCAGAGTACATCCCACACCAGCCAGCCTTGCCAGAAGTCCTACCAGCAGTCAGAAACATGGACACACAAGCAGGCTGGTTAGCTGCCCGAACGGACACTTGTGATACCCTGAGCAGCAACTGCCTCTCCTGTTCTTGGGATAATGACTAGTGCTGATGTTGTCCAAGTCAGGTTACATTTCTCCTATGGCTGTTGGTAATGGAGAGCACCCTAGTATCAGCTGCATGGCAATCATCCCATGGGTGTCAGCAAAATATACAGATAGGATGAAAAGGAGCTTGGGTTTGCTATGTCTGCAATGTCTTACAGAGCAGGAAGGGAGAGAGAGCATCATGTAGGATGGTCACCTCTACAAGTGCCCAGTCAGAAAGATTAAAAAAACTGATTGAAACTCAAAATCTCATGCTGGATTTGGACCGAGCAATGCATCTTTCAGGCTATCATCCTGACAAGTCACGCAGTGCTTAGACACTTGAGGGTTTCCACAAGCATTTTCCTTTCACCTGAAAAACCGGAAAACTGAAAAACTGGAAAGTTACTGCTGCTGCAGTCAGTTTTTATGTCTAGCTGATCCTATTACCACGCAAACCTGATGCAGTCGCAGCAGCAGCTGAGCTGTTAGAGCACTGTAATCCCATGTGTATTACGGTGATGCCACTTGAGCTGCTAATTTGGCAAAATCTGGATCCTAATGGAGATTTAGCCTATGGACTTCCGCCACTTCGCACTTGTCTGTTACAGAATAAACCATCTTGGAAATAATGGCTGCAGTCACCGGAAATTTGTAACCAGCAATTTAATGGGATTCACCACGTGCCCCTTGCACATGAACTTATTCCTCGTCTCTCTGGCTGCCCCCATACAGCTCAATAATGCCATCAAGGACACGCTCCAAGGTTTGAGGCCAGGTAGGGTAGCAGACCTTGCATCCCCAAGCCTGGATGAGACCACCATGTACTCCGATTAATGGGGTTATGCTGGTCAAGAGCCTCTGTTTGCAAAAGGAGAAGAAAGAACTGGATCCATACATGCATGCAAGACCACACTGCTGAGCTTTTGTTTGCAAGTGAAGCTGTGTGCACAGCCAGCTGCTGTGCTCAGTGGATGTTGGGTCCCTTGTCAAGCAGGTGCTAAATCCTGTGTTGAAATGCCGTAAGCAGATGCGGTGTGTAGGCCTCTGGACAAAATATGGGCAGTAAAACAATTTCAAAAAGTGCTCCCATGAATGTGAACTCATGTGCTGAACAGGAGTTGCCTTCAGATGTACTAAACACCCATTTTCATCCTTTTTCACAAATATTGGTGTTGGAGAGTTGTTCCTTGGAAGGTCACCTATAGCAAGCAAGATGGGCACAGATGTATACAGGGATTTGGGCATTGCAAAGGTCCCTCACCATCCCTGAAGGTAGTCTTTGCTTTGAAGAACAACAACCCTTTTTGTATACTAGCCCAGAGGCATGGATGCATATTTAGATTGAAGATGCTCCTATGCACCTGCGGGATCAGGGACACCTCTCCTGCCAACCCCCAGAAAGTAGCTGGGTCTCAAGGGGGCTGGATTGTGGAACTGCCAGAGCCGTGAGACTATCTGGACAGTAGGGATAAGGGGTTCAATCTCTGTTGCCCATGGATATGGGGGTGCCCCCCAAGTCTAGTCATTCAGTTGAGTCAATCAGTCAAAAAGAATTAATCTCCAGGAATTCAGGTGGCAATAACCAGAGTAAATAGCGAGGATGTTTTGCTCATTTAAGGCAGAATACTTGCACTGGTAACTTGCAGACTGAAATTTCCTAGTATAAAGTATTTGTGCAGCTACCAACTACAAATCAGGAAGAAACAAATAATAAATAGCTGGATGCTCACAGTTACTTTGGGAATGGAAAAAAAATACATTTAAGCAAATCAATTCACTCACTTGTCCTCAAGTCTGCCCGAAAATATTCTCAAAGTGTCACTCAGCACTGCAATAATTATCTCCAGTTCTCATTTACAACCAAATGTTAAGAACTGAGAGATACATACTCCTTCCATCCTTAATGTTTTTTGGGGGGCTTGTGTAATCAGCTGTTCCAGCATTCACAATTTTCACTTATTTATCTACTCAGGCCTCCTTGTTTTTTGGTTTTTGTTTTTTTTTAATGCACAGGTTCTCTGCAGTCTGGCAGAACCAGAATTGCAGTATTGATTTAGGAAGAGGTAGTTGTGACAATACAGTCCCAGGCTAATTCCTGCGCTTTACAGGGGCTGCTCTGTCCGCAGCTGCAGTGTGACCCCAAGCATGGGGCTCACATTTTAAAAGAAAAAAAAAAATTAAAGAAAAGCTACTTTTCTCTGTTCTGCTTTGAAGGGAAAAAGGATTACCAAGGCTAAATAAGCCATCTGAGTACTTAGCTAGCAAGCCTAAATAGCACCCTGATAGGAAGTTCTGGCAGAGAGCTAATTAAATTAACTCTCTTTGATTTATTAACAAGCAGAGCAACATATCACACAGGATTGTCCCATGAAATGAATGTGCTTTCTGATTCCCTCAGCTGCAGTCACCTCCTGGAAAACCCAGTTACAGGGACTCAAGTTTAATGAGACTCAATGGCTCGAGAGGGATCCCTGCCCACCAACAGAGATATGCACTGGTAATAATATGTAAAAGCATGTTTATTTTTGTTACACTTCCCTAATTCCTTTTTAATGCCTAGGACTATCTAATGGCTAATTTGTAATTTCCTGCTCACCGATATGCAGATGAATGACAAGCAAAAACCTTCTGCATGTTTAATTATTCTGTTGATTTAGAAGTCACTTTTCCCTCAGTGCAAGTTTCTCTCTGTGTGCTCTCATGCATCACGTATTTCATTATTTTTAGAAGCATGCTCTGTGCCTTTTTATGCTCTCATAGTTCCAGCATCCAGTAATTACCATGTTTTGAGTCCAACAGACCTGATCAGACCTGATTTACACCAGCAAGTGTAAATCAGGAAAACATCACTGACTCTAAATGTAGTTATTCCAAGTTGCACCAGAGCAGAGATGTGACCTCTCCTATTTTTAGTGATGGGGGAAATGTTATTTGTGTGCTGAGACTCTTGTGAAGTAGGCAGAATATAAAATTTAGAAAACTTCAGAGTGGTGAAAATCCAAATTGAAGCCTGTGAATGCACAGACGCGAGTCTATTTATGTAGCAAGCTCTACTTCTGCTTAACCGCTGCAAGGAACTGTGACTCTCTTTGCATATTTGATTTCTCTCCCTCAGTAAAACATAGTCTGCTTAACCTATTTTTGCTACTTTCTAACAGTTTCACTGGCGGGGTTCTTCCTTATGCCTTACATGTAGCTTTGGTATCCAACTGCTCCTTTGTTAAATTAAGGCAATTAATAAATGGAGATGTTAAGCAATCAATTTTGCCTGCATATCTCCACAGCCTTACGTATGACTGGCTGTAATCACAAGATAAATGCAATGTGCTGATGTATGGTAATGTTCAATAATACATTCTCCGCCAGGCTCAATTCATCAGGGAGTTTCTGGAGGGGAGGCATTTGTTATTGGCTGTCTCCGGACCTCAAGGATAACATTTCTGTCCTTTCCATTGGCCGCCCTGCTGCTGCAAACCTCTTCCCGTCTTATTTTGATGATGAATATGAAGGCATGCTAAGCTGTGCTGGAGAGTAGCTCTCTCCAACTGCACTCCCTCCCCGGGCTCAAGGACTCAGGGGCTCCCTGACTGTTTCCCCTGCCCACTGCCAGCAGCAGCAGCAGCAGCAGCAACGCCAAAAGTTGTGATGCTTTTCTTCACCCAGTGCTTTGGGGCTGTGTTAGATCTTATTCACCTGCGGTTTCAGCACTACAAGGCAAAGAGGGTTTTCTCAGCTGCCGGGCAACTTGTCTGCGTCGTCAACCCAACACATAGCCTCAAGGTGAGTTAAAAATATTTTTTTTCTTCTAACACCTCCTTGTCTTCCCCACCACCAGCACCCGTGTTTCTCCATAGAGAATGAAATTATGCTCTGGCAGCAAGAGGAGAATGTTGTTAACACATTGCAGCCCTGGCAGAGAGGATGTTTGCATTGTCTGAATGCATGATTCCCTTTGGAGCAAAGGAGAAGCAACCCACTGCTCTGAGTGATTGTGGGAAGTCGCTGCTCCCTCTCCCCAAAGTTTTCTCATCCCTTTCACCCACATAATGAGCAGGCATGTTGCAAGCATGTAGTAAAAAATTATTGGAAAAGTTACTTGGATTAATTAACATCCCTTTTTTGGTGAAAGGATGCTGGGTGGTCTCCCAGGATGGCACCTAAGCACAGAGGGATGCTACCAGGCAGTGGGGAACAGGAACAGGGGAGGTGGCAGCAGAGGCATTTTCACTGCTGTTGTTTGCTCTTTCAGGGGAAAAAGGCTGTTTCTGTCTCCTGAGGGGAGTCTGAAGGTGTTCCTCTGGCGCTGAAAGCGTCCTTTAGCTGTTTGCAAGGTGAATCTATTTTAGGTGGAAGAATACATTTGCTTTAATGCAAAACTATTTATAGCCCCCACAAAACATTTCTCTTACTCCGACAGCTCTGGATTTCCACTGACAAAGTGTCAACAGCTCCATCTATATCAGAGCCTTCATGTTTGTAGTAGAGAAGAAGCAGCAGGGGGAGAAAGCAATCAGGAGGCTTTAATTACTTTATTGCTGTAGTGAATGACCAACTTTAATGAAGTGGTTTCTGTTTTGTGGTCAGTCCTTGTGGTCCTGACCTGTGAGGTAGCTCTGCTATCCTGACACAAGCTCAGAAATTAATTTAATTCAGGACAACTTATTTTCGTCTCTGCTACGGTCCCTGTGAGGTACTTGGAGGGGTTGCAGGGAGCATCTTTCCTGAGCTACAGGTCCATGGGAGGTCTATTGATGGGGTAAATCCCTTTTCAGAGCAGCATTGCTCCCCCAAAATGGCATGTTTCCCACAGTTATATTTCCAGTTTCAGGCTGCGCTCAGGCAGGAAGAGGTCATTTCTAGCAGAGTGCCAGCTCCAGGAGGATTTCCCCGCGAGGCTGTGCTCTAAGCACTGCCGGCTGGGGCAGGCACTCACAGGGGATGAACTGCTTGAGTGCAGGCACTCCTCTTCCAGCATTGCACTCCCCAGTCAACACAAGCTGAGTTAAAACTGCAGAGCCCTCTCATTATCTGAAAGAATCTGATTGTCTGAATGGATAAAAGAAATAACTGCATTCCTAAGTGCATGGGGGGATTTTGTAAGTGAATGCTTCTGTGCTCGACTCCTTTTATGTGACTGTCTCCTGCTACTTTCATCTATAATTTTAATTAATAAAAAAAATTTTGAGCAGAAAAAAGGTTATTGAAGGTCACAACACAGTTTTAGTGCCAGTGGAACTGTCTGATGAGACACCATAAGCACACTAAGGGGTGACTACTGCTCCACTGGTATCTAAGACTAGACCTGAATTTATCATTTCAGGTCCTCCCGAGTTGCAGATTTTATATTGTAGGAACTGCAGCACTTTGAGCATACAAAAAAAAGTTGGTGACTGTTACTCTGTGTTAAACTCATGGGGCATTTTAGTTTACTAAAATCCGCCATGGCCAAGCTCTTCACTGCTCAGACCCAGAGCCCAGTAGAGAGATGAATAATCCTGATACTGCCTTGGATTTGAATAATTTGAATGCAGACATTGGACACAAAACTCTCCTGGAAACAAACAAGACCCTCTAGGAAAAGGTCTGATGTGTTAGCGAAGCCCCAGCAAGAATTATCTTGACCTGGGTAGGAATTGCTCTCCTGATAAAGTTACATTAGGAACCCTACAGCTAGTGTTTCTTCACAGGAGCCTGTTGAGACACCATATAGATAGACAAGCTGACAAGAAAGCTCTCTGCTCTGGAAAACCCATCTCTCTGTAAAGTGAAACATGCTTTGAAAGTACTCCCAAGTTACCCAGCTCACATCAAGCTACATAAATACAGTGGGCTTTAGCTCTGGTCTACTCCCCAGGTGTTCACTTTCGTTTCCCATGAGCTCTGTAAGGAATGACTCATCACTTTGTGGCGGGACCCAGAGGAGATGGGTGGATTGGACCCCTTTGTGCCCAGCGTGACAGTATCAGTTCCCACCCAAAGCAGCCTGTGGGCCAGCATCAGCTGGCTCCGAGTAAGCAAGGCACCTTGTCCAAAACCTGGTGTCAGACACAAGCCAGATGAGCCAGCTTCTCCGGGTGCCCACTTCTCCCCCAGGGATACACAGGGAGGCTGTAGTTGCTCTCAAATGACACCTGAGGGACCATTAAACATGAAAGGGCCAAATGTATTCCTCTGTGCTGCTTTACAGTATTATGGCTGTATGTTTCATAGTCTATTATTTCTACCTGGGTCATTTCAACTGTAACATTTTCTTGACAGCCCCCAAATCTATCTTAACAATTGACAAGTGGAGTGAAATCTGTATTAAGGTTTGCGGTCGATGAATACAAGCCTGCTAGGAAACAAGGGCTAGAAGCAATGTCATTTCTCTCCCTTCTCTTCAAGGCTTAAGTGTTTGTGCTAACTCCAAAACTGTAAGCTCTTTGCAAAGGGATTATTTTATTCTGTATCTCTACAACACTGGTGCAAGGGGGCTCCTGGTTGATTGGTGCAAATGATAAATGACAGGCATCATACTCTGCTGTGATTATCCTCACTGACATCCTTCACGCAGGTCAGGTCTTCAATCAGTGCCAACGCACATAACTCCATTAAAGTCAAATTGCAGCAGGACCTCCATTCTTGCTCCTTCCACTTCCAAGAGAGTGTTCAGGGATGATAGTGGGATCCAGCCCACTCTGGAGGATCCATGGTTGGTGGTCACATATGTATGTTAGAGACTTGGCATCACGTAAAGCACTTGGTGAGCAGCAGAGGGCAGGGTACCCTCCAGGGAAAGGCTGCACTAGCTTGTGCTGTCACAGACCCACAGCTGGACCAAGGGGACTCTCTTGTAAAGTTATGCCAGCAAGCTGTCATCATAATCACAGCCTGGACCTCTGACCATGACCAGAGCCCATCACTTACCTATTCTTTTAGGAGAGGTCCAGAGGTTGGTAGAGAAATACACACTTAGAAAGAAACCCATGTGTTTCTTCCCACTGAAAGGCTCATTAATTGGGAAGGCTGATGAGCATTTCAGTGTTTTTTAAAGGGCAAGATGGTAGAAGTGTCAGCACAGACACCTCTATTGATCTGCTGCTGTTTTCCCTGTGCACAACAGCCTGACACAGGCTAAGACAATTCCTGACACAAGAAAGACAATTTTGCAAATGTCTCCCACTGTTTCGATGGTTTGTCAGGAGTATGAATGAGGGGGGGAGGTATTCCAGAGCCTCCTTGTCCTTCTTGCCACTTTCTGGTCTTTGTCCTCCCTTGAGGTTTCCCAGACATAGCAGCAGCATCTTACAGCACAATACTACACTGGGATCAAAATTCACTTGCCAAGCAGAGAAAACCACTAATTTACCGCACTTCCATAGGTCACCTTCGTCCTCAGTCATATTATACGCGTTACCTTGTAACCTGTTTCCATTCAAGCGTGTGGTCAACCTGACATCTCCCTTTGGAGAGACACAGTCAGGCAGTAGAGCTCCTCAGCCAAGTGGATGGTCCCTCCAAGGCTGTATTAATTGAAGGAACACCGTTTATGCCACTGGCTGCAGGTCCCAATGTGAAGGGAAAGTTTTAAGGTGCTCCATGTGCATGGAAAAAATGAGCAGAGTTTGCTGATCCTGCAGAAATGAGGCTCAATGAATTCCTGCACACTTCCCCCTTTGTTAATAGCAATTCTCCCCAGCACTGCTAATTGCACCCTGCGAAGAAGCTGAAGGTGTGGGAGGTTGTCCTCACTCCTTAGCTGGCAACAGTCCCTGTCCCCAAAACCAGCCACACACAGCAGGGGACTGCAGTGCAATCACAGCTCAGCCAGGTGCAGATGCTTGGCAAGATGCTGCATATGGCTGGATAAAACAGATCTTCATTCAAGGAGTTACTGGCTTTTTACACACAACTTTAACTCTTTGGGGAGTGTGAAAAATGTTCTTATAAAGAGTAAAAATGTGTGTTTACAATGCTCTTGTAAAAAACACTGATCTCCACCTCTGTAGAACTTCAAAGAACTTGCTGAATTACAAAAGAAGTGTATTCAAATGAGGATATAAATAGTTCAATCTTATATTTGAAAAGGATCGTAACATGGTTTATGGGGCCAAGATGTCATTTAGCAATTTTTTAAATCAAAAAGCAAATCTGCTCTGACTTAGGGAAGGGATTTGAATCATGTTACAACAGTTTGGCTCTGCATGCAGTGGCCAGCTAAATAGCATTGTAATCCACTTTATCCCCAGTAGGATTAAAGTGCTATGATACATTACACCCCCATGAGATTTATTTGTTTGGAGGGAGGAGAATGACTTTGAAACCTGTTGCTAACAACCTCCAGATGTCCTCTGCCACTATCTCAACCCAAACACCCTCAAATCTCCCCTGCAGGGCTATGATTTGGGGACTAAGTGGCATTTGGCCCTGGTGTCCAGCAGGGTTGTGACAGCTGTGTCGAGGGGACCTGCAATACCCACTGCTGCCTGCAAACCTGGGCTCCTGGCAAGGTGCCTATGTCCCATCCTGGCTGTAGGACAGGCTGTGTAAGCACTGGGCACCTCAGACTTTTAAATCCTTTTGTAGGTATGTGAATAGCAGCAAGTAGTGCTTTGACAGCCCTCCTTCAGCCCTGCCTCTGTTTGAAGGGCTTTCAGCAGGCAAAACTGGAACTTGAGTTGGCCACGAGCACTCTAGAAGCCTCAGTCTGTCCTGCAGATGTGAGCATAATGGTGCTCTGCAGAGGTGAGGCATAGCATGCTCTGGCAGCTCTCCTCAGGGACTCTCCATTTGCTGCTGCT